TAATTCATTCGAAACTTACAGACAGTTAAATAATTCAATAATGGTTTGTTATTTCTCTTGCAATTTGTCCTTGACTGATATGATAAGTGTGATAAATTACATTCATAGTTTGGATACATTTAAAAAAGTTTGACTACTTCTACCAAATCCCACCTCTCTCTCTCCTGGCTGATTGGGAATATATATGATATATGTTATAAAGGTGGGAGCCTAATTTAGTGTTTTACAGAGAAAACGATGGTCTGCTGACAGCGGAGTCAATCTTGGAAATGCATTTAATAAAAAGAGAAGAGTAAAATCAACATCTCAGTAGGATTTCAAAGCGTAAGGTATTTTCTGCATGTATTATTGAAGAGGCTGGGGTTCCTGGCGGGGCCGGATCTTCTCGCTCATGAGTAGCAGCCTGAGCATCACACATCACACTTTCTAATAGGAAATTCTAATGAGTGCAGATATTTAGAATACACTAACCCAAAAACGCAGTGCAATTACTCATTAGATTGGGCACGGTAATGGAAAAAAAAGAAATGGCTTTTACAACGCTTACAATAAATCATGGGAATCAGCCTCCAAACAACTTTTTAATAACACTCCCCTTTGCCATGAATATTAATTATTCACAGTAATCTATGCGTAGCTGAGTGTGATCATTTCTTCTTCAGCTACATCTGATATGCGTACAAGAAGCTTATTTAAATGAATATTTGCAGGGCATTATTTCACAGCACTGGTGGGTTAGCATCTACATGTTGGTGTTTGTCAGTGACCTCTCTGAAGCTGGCCTCTTCTCTGTTGGAGCCTCTGAGCATTAACCCTGTAAGGCCCACTGTTGTAAGTTTACAACATTACTTTAAGCTATCCTAAAAAAGTCAGTAAATTATTATTTTTTCTTTAAAGACTACATTTACATAGTCAAAAGGTCCTTTTGTTCAGCCTCACAATGCTATTGGGTAGTAAATGTGTTTATAGGTCCTGCCCTCTGGCCATACACTCACAAAACTTCAGAATCTTCAAACGAGCAACATCTCTTTGTTTTATTGGACTGGATATTTTTGTGATTATTACAATGTCTAGAACATGTACATATTTAGTTTTTGTGGAATACATTCATCACATTTGGAGCAGCTTATGTCTTTGTTGTAATATTACAACACTGGGTCAGTGTGGTAGTCAAAATAGCATGTGTCCCTGTAATGGAGATTGCCAAACACAAACACAACACAAATAGAAATATACTGTCTTTGATAATTAACTATAACTCAGTTCTAAATGTGTCCTCTGTTAAGATTTTGAATTAAGACCAGAATGTGTGAAATTATATCTCTAGCAATATGTTAAACTCTACTTGTATCTTATCAGTTAATTAGTTACAACAATTCATTTAACTATTCTCTGGTTCTGGCAGAAACAGTTATTTCTGAAATGTGTTGGGACACTTGGATGTATCCCTTTTAGTATGATCATTAGCCTGTTATCATTAACATTAACTTTAACTTCATTAACTCTGTCTACCCATAAGCCCCCCTCTCTCAATCAAAAGCGCTATATAAATAAAATGCATCATTATTATTATTATTAGCCAGACAGCATTGTGTGACTTGTCGAACTAATTTACCTGCATGGTGTAGGTATTGCTTTTATTATGATCATAGGCTAAGCCAAAAATGGCTGGAGTCCGTATGTATTGGGACACAGACACGGTACCCCCCTGTTTCTGATGTGATGGCACGCAACAGATTCCAACATTGTTGACATCATTACATTTTGTAAACAACTTGACAGTGTCAGAGATGGAAAAGAAAGACAAACTCTGGAAACTCAGACCCTGGCTTGATACATTCAGAGAGAAATGCCTGCAGGTGGTACCAGAAGAACACAACTCTGTGGATGAGATGATGATTACTTTCAAGGGAAAATTCAGCAGCATCAAGCAATACATGATTGCTTGATGCAACCCATGGGGGTTCAAAGTGTGGGTGAGAACTGGAATCTCTGGAATGATCTGTGACTTTGATGTGTACCAAGGCAGTGTCAATGGGATACGAGCCAAGTCTGAACTTGGATTGTCGGGTGATGTTGTGATGAAGCTTGCCTCCGCGCTTCCAACTGCAACCTTGAAGAGGAGAAGAGCTTGAAGAAAAAAGGGAGAGCAACCCTTAGTTGTTCAATATATTTATTCATACAATGTGATTAGAAATAAGGAATTCTGCTCCCACCTAAGCCCAACGTTGCAATATTACAACATTTCGCTAAAAACTTACCAAAACGTAAAGAATGTGAAAAGGGACAGAAAAAACGTTGTTTCTATAGGTAAATACACATCTGAGTTGACAAATATGACATGTGGGGTACCTCAAGGCTCCATCTTGGGGCCTCTTCTCTTTAACATCTACATGCTACCACTGGCTGAGATAATGAAAAACAACAAAATAAGTTACCATAGCTATGCGGATGACACACAAATGTACGTAACCATTTCACCAGGAGACTATGCTCCAATTCAAACACTGAGTAAGTGCATTGAACAAATCAATGACTGGATGTGTCAGAACTTTCTCCAATTAAACAAAGATAAAACTGAGGTAATGTTTTTTGGAGCCAAGGCAGAACGTATAAAAGTTAGCGTCTGCAATGTTCAAAACAACAGATAGAGCCAGAAATCTTGGTGTAGTCATGGACTGTGACCTGAGTTTCAACAGTCACATTAAAACAATTACTAAATCAGCATACTATCACCTAACGAATATTTCTAGGATTAAAAGACTATTATCTTTGCTTTTTAATGACTGATTTTAAATGCCATTTTCTTAATGTCTTTCATTTTTTGTAAAGCACTTTGAATTGCCTTGTGTTGAAAGGTGCTATATAAATAAAATTGCCTTGCCTTCCCTTACAGAGGAATTTACAGAAACAGGAACAGAGATTTATTGGTTGATAGACTGCTCTTCAGATTACAGAGTATAAAAGTCAGAGCTCAAAACAGTGCAGACGCCAGATCCCGACACTCAGACTGCTGGAAACCCATCTCTGAAGCCATGTCCAAACAAAGGTAAGCCCCTTTTTCCTCTTGTTTTTAATATTGAAATACCATGTTTCTAAATTACTCCTTTATTTGCATGTTTTTCAGTACAAACGTAGCTTTTCTGATTGGGACCATGCCATCCTGTCCCTGATTAAAACTGACTGTGTTGCTGTAAAAGAAGATGAAAAGGGATTCATACTGTGTGTCACATCGAGGAGAGGAATGCAAGACCACTCTTATCAAAACCTGACGAATGTTCCCTCAAATCTACCCGACGACACGCAGTATCTGGACATTTCTCACAACTCTATCCGAAGACTTAGCGGAGCTTCGTTTTCTGGGCTGTCCCAGCTTTGTTGTCTGAAGGTAACTCACTGTGGCCTGCAGGAGATTTCTCCCAGTGTATTCAGTTACACACCAGCACTCAAAGTTCTCAATATATCTTTCAATGACTTACCTATCGTCCCTGACATTTCATTGAAACAGCTGAAAATCCTCGATTTGGCTTACAATCTGTACAAGAGCTATCGAATTCCAGCATCATTTCAGAACCTCGCAAATCTGGATGTGCTGTCATTGGGTAGTCCAACTGCTCTGTCGGTAAACTACAATGACTTTGATCCATTGTCCAACGTTTCTCTGAGTCACTTGGTGTTGGAAGCAGGAATCCGCTGGCAAAAATATGATTCTGGTGCCCTTGCAAAACTGAAATCTCTTAAAACTATTTCAGTTTTTGCATCGTTTTGTGAGGAGGCCAGTATGTTTCAAAACCTCCTTGCCGACGTGAATGTGACAGGAGCGAAATCATTGAGAATCATCACTCTATTCCCAGACAACTGTAACGTGACCGGGAACTTTTTGGACAGCCTGAAAACAATGCCACTTTTAAAGAATCTCACCATAGAAAACACTTGGATAAACAGTTCATTTATGGAGGTGTTTATGAAGAATGTGTGGTTTTCCCACCTTTATGACCTCTCATTTGTCAACATAACTTATAATGAAGACACACCAGACGGGTTTCAGTTTTGCACCATAAATCACTCGGTCAATCTCTGCTCCATTAACTTCAACGGTGTGAAGCATTACCAATACAAATACCCCCAAATCAACATGAGCTTAGAGGCTGTCTCAAATCTGACCTATTTAAAGTTCTGAGGGACCTGAATGAACATTTTACCCTGCAATCTCATATCTGTCCTGCCGTCACTGGAAACACTGGATCTATCCGATAACCTCTTAAAGGATACAGGCTTCTGGTGGTTTCTCTGCTCGCCCACCTCAGTCTTCCCCAAACTCAGGAGACTGTATCTAAGCAAGAACCGCTTCAACAGTCTTTCCTTCATCTCTGAAAAGACAAATCAGATGAAGACATTAGAGTTTCTTGACCTTAGTTTCAACTCCATCTCGTTGGACAGGGATTGCTCTTGGCCTGCTCAGCTGATTGAGCTCAGCCTGGCAAACAATATCCTGGGCAACAACGTCTTTAATTACCTGTCGGTGAACTTTGAGAAGATTGACTTGTCAAAGACGGGAATAACAGCCATAACGCAAAAGGATCTGTCTCGTTTTCCCAAGCTCACACACCTCCAACTCAGCTCCAACAGCATCCAGGTTATTCCTGCAGATCTCAACGCTCCATCGCTGCTCAATCTCTACGTAGACCAGAACGCAATCACATCCATTTCCAAGTTGGCAGCTTCAAACCCTCAAAGCTGGAAACAATCCATTTGTCTGCTCATGTGACTCCTATTGGTTCGTCAGTGTTCTCAACAAGTCTTTGCTCGCGGACTGGCCCTTAGATTATACATGCAGCACGCCGCCGTCTTTTGCAGGAGTGTCCCTCTCAGAATACAAAACCAGTGAGCTGTCATGTGAGATGTGGCTTCAAGCTGCGGTTGCTATCCCTGTATTAATAATTATATCTGCTGCCATAGGTCTGGTCTTCTATAAATGTGACGGAGTTTGGTATACAAAGATGTTATGGGTCTGGATCAGAGTGAAGAGGAGAGGCAAGAAAAACTCCAACATGTTAAAGAATGTATCATTCCAGTATCATGCGTTTATCTCCTACAGTCACCAGGACTCGGGATGGGTGGACAGCCGACTGGTTCGCTCTCTGGAAGGTTCCGGGTTTTCACTCTGCGTTCATGAGCGTGACTTTGTCCCTGGTGACTGGATCATAGACAACATTATCAACTGTGTGGAGTCTAGCTACAAGACGCTGTTTATCCTCTCCAAACATTTTGTCCAAAGTGAATGGTGCAACTACGAGCTGTTCTTTGCCCAGCACAGAGCCGTTAACATCCAGCAGGACTCTTTAGTGTTCATACTGCTGGAGCCCATTCCAACTGACTCCCTGCCCAAGAAGTTCTCGAGACTTAGAAGTTTACTAAGGCAGCAGACATACCTTGAATGGCCGAACGACGAACGGAAGCAGCAGGTTTTCTGGGCAAGTCTTAAATCGATGCTACGTGTTGCAGACAAATCTATGGTTCTGAAGGATGTGGCTTTGGCCATTGCTGATACAGCAACTTTAGTTACAGACCAAATCTAGAAAAATACCCTCTTGTACGGCAAAAATGTTTTTCTATTTGAAATTGTTATTCTTGTTCATAATATTTCTTCGTCGTGCAATACAAATGTGTGTGATCTACAAATCTGCATTCCAAAGTTCAGCTAATGCTAACACAAGGCTTCAGAAGTCAAGTTAGACAAATCAGGTTAGTATTTTACAAAGATTTTGTCTTTCTAGTATGAAATTGCTTCCACAAATGCCAAGTCACACACAGTATTAATATAATACTGAAAAGACTAACTTTGGGAAATACCTTCCCCTACTAACTGAAAATGCTAAAGCTAATACCACCACCATTAGATCTGCCGGTTATACAAAATTGGAGATATCAATAATATGTTGTAAAAAGTCAAAATTACAGTTACATTTGAACACAAATCAAGCCTATTTAGAGGTTTCATTCAACAAAAGAAGAAGTCTTAAAAGGTACAACAACTAGAACATATTTTTTAACTGATACAAATATGTAATTTCTATGCAATGTAATTTACCACTAGAGAAAAATATTTGTATTCTGCTATGTGGCCTAATGTTTGTGTCATCTGTTGAAAGCCTCTTTTAATGTAAGCAAATGTCTCCATCTACTGTTTATAATGAGTCTTTACACCATAAACTATGAAGGAATGAATTATAAGACTGTTACACTGTTATTCAATATATCCAAACATATTCAAACATTGAACTTGCTTATCAGGGTATCTTGTAAAAGGCTTATAATGTAATTTGTGAGGAGAATTGGGTTATCCTTGTGTATTTTATAAATATATGTAAGGTGGTAACTCCCATTGCTGTCAACTTTATATCATGTATAAAAGGCATAGTTGGTGTTTAATATTCTGTCTTGTCTATTAATGAATCATGTATTGAACATTTTTAAATCACCTACAAGTTATGTTTAATAAAAACTTTTTTTAAATCCCTTTGGCTGGTTCTGTCCTTAAATATATAAATAAATACAAAAGCAAAGGATAGGGTATTATTTCACAAACATGGGAATCAAAAGTTGTTTTAATTTTCTTTGAAGAACAAATAAATGACATTAATGTATAGTTATTCATAAATATATTATTTGGCTATTAGGCATATAATGGGGGCATTTTTTGAAAGAAATACGAATAGATGATTTATATGTGCTGATATTCAAGTTATTTTATGTTGTTGTCATCATTCTTTTATACACAAGTCAAAGCACCTTTCTTTGCTAAAGATTGTCTTGATGTATGTTAGCAAAACAGACGAATTTGGTCTGACGCTTTGCTAGCAGAGACTACAATACCCATAATGCAATGCATGTAACATCAAGACTATTTGCGCCGACTCACTGAGTTGTAGCCGATACTTGCCCCTGTTCTCTCCTCCTTTCAATGTAAGATGGTGGTTTGTAGAGTAAGTAGGTAGCCAACACCTCTATAAGCTGAGAAAACGGGCCGGTTGTCTCCTCAAGAGAGCGGCTACCGAGTCCCGGGGGCGGAAGCTTGCTGTAACGGAGCTACCGACGCACACAGGCATACTTCTCCCCCACATCCTGGACAAGAATCTCCAAAAGCACATAGGCAGGGTGAGTATCCAGACTAACAGTTATCCCTATTAACCCAGCGCCATAAACAAGGCTATTCATCGTTTTTACTGGACACACTATAGTTCAGACATAGCCTTCAACGGCTGTCCACGTCCGGTAGTCATTGAAAGGCGTTGCTCCGGGAGAAGAGCCGCGGCAGCTCCATTCACATCGGGCTGGTGTTTCGGTTATATCGGGCTCTGCCGGCGGAGGGCAGGCCGCGTAAACTCGTCTTCCTGACAGACTTTAGTGAGCAACACAACTTAGACACACCGCTCTGGTGTGAGAGGAAGTGCCAGTATATTTTAATAACTTTGGCTGGGGATCACCACTGTCTGCGTTGTATTACACGATACGATAGAGTAGGAGAAAAACCATTTGCCGACGTCATGTAAGACAGACCGTAGCTAGCAGCATTCCAGCTTGACACCATGCCTGGCACTCTAACCGGTTAGCATAGCTGGTTAACTTATTAGCCTGGTTAGCTTAGCTTAGCTTAGCCCCGGCGGCGCCCTTAGTGTCTCTTCACAAGTCACATGACAGTCAACAAATACTGCTCGCTATTTCACACTTTTATTACAACTATGTGACTATAACACCATTGTCCCAGTTGACTGTTTATATTTGAGCTAAAAGGGGACTTAGCACTGCTTATAAACTGTGCTGGTAGCATTGTATACTGTCGGTGGTATTTACCTGAAACGTAATGGTGCATTCAGTCTTTTTACACGGCTTTAAAGCTAACGTTACTATAACCATATGATGAATAGGGAAGCACATTTAGTCATGTCCTGTTTCAGCCATGCAACTAATAAAAGAACATTACAGTCCGGGAAAGGTGGAAAGATATGTTGGGGACAAAATCATTGTTGATAATTCTGTGCCACATATTGATTTTGGTGCAAAGGCTGAATGTGTACAGCTAAGCACCAGATGATGTCAGGATACATGGCACTTTTGGTTGCTAATTGAATAAATACATGCCTGGAATTACCGTAAACACATACTCATGACTGTTTGGGTCAAACACTGCTACATGACAGTGAACTAATGATATATGCAAAGACATTTTCAGTAAATTCTCCACACATGTTTAGACTGTAGACTATATTGCAAAATGTATATTCCTGTTTCCTTTCTTCAGTTACTCTGCACTGTTCGTTATTTAATGCCAATGTTGTTCACTCCAGGCTCATTCACTTTAGCCCGCTAACCTAGCCTAGCACCTGTACAGCAATTATTAAATTACTTCTATATTGCGACTCACTAATTCTTCCGTCTGTCGCCAGCTTTCCGTAGGCAGGGCTTCTCACAACAAACCGTATTGAGTTATTACAGTTTTACCTTCATACATTTCTACCGTTCAGCCAAAGGTCTCTTAAGTGTCACTTCTGTGTTCACACCTGACATTATTCTCCTTTGACTTGCTAGCCCTGAACAGATAGTAGAATCAAAGGGCTATCAATGAGGCTCTTACGTCCTTAATGTATTAACTTCATTGTAACATACAGTTTTGATAAGTAGATTGAAGCCATTTTTGTAACTGCACTTCTGTGATATTATCAGCCTTGAGTCATTTCACATGTGTGTGTTGCATCGGGGCAATCTGGACCTGTTGTCTGACATGCCTGAGTCAGACAATTTGTATGCAGCTCACCAGTTTCTTTGTGAACACACAGACAATACATTTCAGTTAATTATTAATGAGAAAAAGTCATAACTGCATCACAATCAAACTTCAGAGGTATCTTTATTAGTTCCGTGTGTGTGCTTTATTTGTATCAGCGTCATTCTGGATGTGTTGCATTTTTGTGTCTACTAGCTAGTGGTGGCTTCAGCGACTTGTTTTCAGTCATTCGAGCTGGGAAAATGATGGTAATACTTTCTAGGGTAATTGACACAATGTAAATAGAGATATTCCAGGCTGTGCATTGCGCCCTGATAGAAGGTTCTTCATCTTGTGTAATACAAAGGTCGATGTTTTCTGCAGCAGTGGGCTAAGGTGAAATAAGTTGAGATCATTCAGCAATAAGTGAAGAAGGAAAAGTCTGTTTTCCAACCTAGGAATCATGCAGGAAGGCAGAGTAAACAAGTAGGTGGTATTACAGCACTACATTTCTTGGAGAGAAAAAACTCAGGACTCGTTACCTAGGAAGTTCCTGTGATCGGCAATAGTCGCAGACGTTATGTGTAAACTTAGTCCTTTGAACACAACTAATGCTAATCGGAGTCATAACACAGACAAATTGGAACACTCAACGATCAATAATGAAAGTTTGTGGTCTCTACATGGATATATTATAGATATAATTGTGTGAACAGGCGCTAATCTGAGTTTATTCAACATGATATTGTCTAAATGAAAATGCATCACAACATACTCACATTGTCACAAAAGGGCCGTAGTGAGTATGAAGGTGTGCAGAGTCAACCTGCACAGCCGTTTATTTCTAAGTATCAAAAGTGTTCAATCAGTCTCAGAGAAACGTGCAAAACATAGGTCTAAAATCCAACTTCCAAATCCTGAAAGAAAACAGCCTTTACGTTTTTATTTTTGTTCATTGTCTGTCCATTAGCTGAATGCCCAGCCATGCATTAAGGTAAATCATGTGTTTTGAAATAACCCGATTTCTTGCCAATTAACCCGCAGTATCTGCCTGCAGAGGGGTTTTAGTTTAATTGGCCACTTGGACTTATTTAGACAAAGTTGTGCATCTTCTCTGCAGCCCTCTGTGCAATGACAGATCATTAGATTGTCTCACATCATTGGCTGGAAATCAGCATTTAAGTGGTTTCACTAGTCATTGTTTACATTTAGATTACTTTCTGTTATGCGCCCAAACAAGCATATTTCCAAACACAAATACTGTTTCTGGACTATTCCACCTAACCTTGATTCCTTAACTCTTCCTAATTTAGAAAACAAAAGTATTGTGATGTTTAGAAATGAATATAAACTTGTTTTCATTGTATTATCCAAGGTCTAAAACCACTGCATCTTTTTTGTTACTTTGACCAGTTGTAGTAATTCTCTACATGACTATTTTTTTTATTTAGAATTTGGAAGACATTTAGTATAAAAAAAAGTTAATATTACTCAAATACATACCTTTTTTAAAATAGTAAAACCAGGTAAATTGATAATCGTGCAGTGGTCTCTTATTTTGTTCCAGAGCTGTATACTAATTATTTAAACAAAAACAGGTCACACACAAATAGCATTTGCTTGAATCACAAATAGTAAATATTACCCTCTTACCTCGAAGGCCTCGTCCATTATGGAGAATCCATTCACTTTCATTCCAGCCTGATACCGAGAGGATGTCTAACCTGTGTTGTGTCTCTGGTCCAGTTCAGGCCTCCTGTTCCTGTCCTGTGAAAGCTGTCGGCCCACTAGTGCGTAACCCTAGGATGTCCCGGCACCCTTGTGGGAAGGACGACATGATGGAGTGCCCTCTGTGCATGGAACCTCTGGAGATCGATGATGTCAACTTCTTTCCCTGCACCTGTGGATACCAGATCTGTCGCTTCTGCTGGCATCGAATCAGGACCGACGAGAACGGGCTCTGTCCTGCCTGCAGAAAGGTAGAGCTCCAGAAGTGAAGGGCAGCAATGTCACATGACCATGACATCAGACAGGTCAAGAAACAGCAGTCGAATAAGAAAAGTCCAGCTTTTATCTATTTCATTTGGCTAACCGGTTCAATTATTACCCAAACTGTGTGTTGTAAACATCATTTCAGATCTTACACACGGTTGTCATACAAAACAATGAATGGAAAGTGATACCATCTGATTTCTCTGATTTCCTTGAATGATGTGTGTGTGTTTCTGCAGCCGTACCCAGAAGACCCTGCAGTGTACAAGCCGCTGTCACAGGAGGAGCTGCAGAGGATAAAGAACGAGAAGAAGCAGAAGCAGACGGAGAAGAAGCAGAAGATCACAGAGAACAGGAAGCATCTGGCCAGCGTCCGAGTGGTCCAGAGGAACCTGGTGTTTGTAGTGGGGCTGTCCCAGAGGCTGGCTGACCCCGAGGTGAGACGCCACACAACACACACACACACACACAACAAGTGTTCAGTGTGTGTGCTGCCGTGACCACGCAGAAGACTAGAATAAGCATTAAGTGAATGGGATGTAATCCTGCCGCAGCAGTTCAGTCTGCCAACGTCTCCCACACTCAGCAGGCCCGGAAACAACAACAGCAGCATCACCATGACGATGCATGCCAGAAATACCTTGAAGCTATTAATCATATTTCCAGCAGTGAAAGCTGTCTGGAGGCACCACGTCAAATAAAAACATCTGGATGTGTGGATTGTCCAATGACAACTAGTCAACACTTATTTACTTTATCATTTGCATGCAAGTTAAAGGGGCCCGATCCCCTTTCCTCAAAGAACAACTTCAGCTGTTAAAGATGAGATTTTATAAATGAAAACCAATATTAGGTGTAAGATAGGATGAGGAGGCATAAAGTATAACATAAGCAGTATATACATAAAGAGGATTTAGTCTAAGAGTCTTAGACAGTAAACAAGTTCAGAGAGTAGGTTAGCAAGTGGTATATCAGAGATGTGATATAGCCCTGTGGTATAACACTAATCAAGCTCCACAGGACACGCCAAACAAGACCAATAAGATGATGACGATAATGATGATTTGTTTGACAGGTTCTAAAGAGACTAGAATACTTTGGGAAATTCGGGAAGATTCACAAAGTGGTGATCAACAACAGCACTTCATACGCTGGCTCCCAGGTGAGGCCCCCCCCCACACACAGTGAACAGTGCGTCACAGCCCACATTAATGAAACTACATTTGAATTCTGCCTTTGTCTCTGTCTCTTTCTCACTCCCAGGGGCCCAGTGCCAGTGCCTATGTCACATATCTTCGTTCTGAAGACGCTCTCAGAGCAATCCAGTGTGTCAACAATGTGGTGGTGGACAGCAGAACACTCAAGGTAGGCCTGAGACGTACATGTCATATCATTTGATGAAAGACGGAGAGTGAATGTTTTGTGATTGTAGCGTTTTGTTTTGCAGGCTTCTTTAGGAACAACAAAATACTGCAGTTACTTTTTAAAGAGCATGCAGTGCCCCAAACCAGACTGCATGTATCTCCACGAGCTGGGGGACGAGGCTGCCAGTTTTACTAAAGAGGAGATGCAGGTAAGTCCAGTCCGGGAGACCGCTAAACTAAAACTCTATATTCAATTTGCATCAGAAATGTAAGAGAAATCTAAACTAGCAGACTATAGCTGGGTTCAGCTACTGATCGTAAATCTTCGAGAGTGAAATATTCCATGATAACGTGGGTTTGTTTTCTGAGCTAACTTAAGCTCAGAATATCCAGTCACCTTGGCATCAACATTGACACAGTCCTCTGTTTTTATATACAACTATTTATTATAACTCCTCAAAATACAGGCAAGAAATCCAAACTATGTGTAGCTTAAAGGATTCTGATAAATAATATTTCACGTGACCAGCTAAGGCAGATATAGGAATATATCATATACCTGTAAATACCATTTTTACCTATACTCCCCTGTATATATTTCCTTAATTTCCGTCCGTCGTCTACATAGCTCATGCTCAAGTGTTCTTTTGCTTGCAGGCGGGAAAGCATCAGGAGTATGAGCAGAAACTTCTCCAAGACCTCTCCAAAAACAACCCCACCTTCCTGCAGACCCCCGCTGTGCCAGGGGACAAACCCAAGGGCAAGGCCAACTCTTTACAGAGGTATTCATGCACCTCTGTGTCTCTCAGAAGTCATGTGACATCGTTCCCTCAAGCACAGGGATTGTGTGACTTCACTGTGAATGGAGATGTGTTAGCTCTCTAATGAACCGTTCTGTTCAGTGCTGACCCGTGTGCTTTTCTCTGTGTGCTGCCACAGGTCCAACAGCTCCAGTAAAGACGGGAGGATGACCAACGGGCTGTCCTCAGAGCACAGGAGGAGCCCCACTCTAGATGGCTCCGACTCTGAACACCTGAGCCCCGAGGGGCCCGAACCTGATCTCAGCCCTGACCCTGTCCCGGCCCTCTGCTCCTTCTCCTCACACCACGAGCTTGCTAGGTAGAGTTAGATCAAAAGATGAATTAGTCCGAATATTTAGAAGTTTTGAAGAAATGTGTAGCACTGACCTATTGGCAGGTAATCAATATATCAAATGTGTCACTTGTTTATCCTTTGTAAGCTACTGGGAATTAGGGATGCCAGAAACTGACCATGATCAAATTCGAAAATCGGACAGCCCTGGCGAATATTAATCAATTATTTAATATATAAATAAAATCGAATTTTAAAAAAAAAATAAAAAAAAAAAAAATAATAATAATAATTCGATTATGGAGACTGTAACGAATATTTGAATAATCGCTGGCATCCCTACTGTGAATGCTACCCATTACAGCTGCTTCCCTGTTGTTATCAGGCTTTTACTCTAAACTGACCAGTGTTTATTTCTAAATTGCCCGTTACTAATGACTCGCTTTAATTTGCAATTACGTTTACTACAATTATTAATGTTCTCTGCTTTTGTTTTGACAGCCCCAGAAACAAACTGACAGACATCAGTATAGGCAACGGTGAAACCTCACAACTGGTAAGTAACGGACTTTAATTACAAAAGCATCGAATGTGTTCCAAGAGCCTTTTGTAGTAAACTAAAAGAACACATATTTAATGTTGGTATGTGTTGTCCCTGTTGATAATCTTAAAACAGGGATATATGATTTGCCTATTTTAAATATAAATTGTTGTTCTGCAGTTATTAACTGTTTTGGTCATATATTTCAACTAGAATCCCCATGAGACAACCAGATCAAATAAATGATATAAGAAGTAAGCCCGCTCACCTGTCCTGTGTGCTTCAGCTCCACAGCAGTGACTCTCCGTCGCCCCCCCCTGGCCTCAGTAAGCCGGGGCTGATGGTCCCCCTCAGCGTGACGGGACACACGCCTCGCTCCCCCTTCGAGGCGGCGGCTGCAGAGTCCCAGTCTCTGTTCTCAGACAACAGCAACTTCAGGCATCCCAACCCCCTGCCCAGCGGCATGAGCGGCTTCCCCACCCCCCCCCACAGCAACGCCGAGTGGCCCACCACCCCCGAGCCGCACAGCCTCTTCACCTCAGGTAGAGATAAGATACGGAGGATGTGTGTAACAACTGTAAATATTTGGTGTCAAACATTTCTTCTTCACACAAATTCTGTGTTCTGTATTTAATAATTCTGTGTTCTTCATTTACTAAACGTTAAAGAGCTGACCTCCAAAATGCAGTCACTGTACAGCACACAGGAATTATTAATACAGAAGAAAATAGGAAATGTTGACACCAAAACAACACGCAATATTACAGTTGCTACCACATCCCTCCATATCTTATCTCTACTGAGGTGAAGAGGCTGTGCGGCTCGGGGGTGGTCGGGCCACTCGGCGTTGCTTGTGGGGGGGGTGGGGACCCGCTTCATGCCGCTGGGCCCAGGGGTTGGGATGCCTGAAGTTGCTGTTGTCTGAGACAGAGACTGGGACCTGCGCCGCCGCCTGACAGGGGGCGAGGCGTGTGTCCCGTCCGCTGAGGGGGGACCATCAGCCCCGGCTTTACTGAGCCAGGGGGGGCGACGGAGACGTCACTGCTGTGGACTTGAAGCACAAGGACCAGGTGAGCGGGCTTACTTCTATATCATTTATTTTGGATCTGCTTGTCTCATGGGGATTGTAGGTTGAAATATATGACCAACCGGTCTAACGCAGACAGCTATTTATATTTAAAATGGCAAAGTCATCATATCCCTGTTTTTAAGATTATCAACAGGGACAACACATAACCAACATTAATATGTGTTCTTTTAGTTTACTACAAAAGGCTCTTGGAACACATTCGATGCTTTTGTAAGTTAAAGCCGTTACTTACCAGTTGTGAGGTTTCACCGTTGCCTATACTGATGTCTGTCAGATTTGTTTCTGGGGCTGTAAACCAAAATGCAGAGAACATTAATAATGTACATAAACGTTAATTGCAAATTAAAGCGAGTCATTAGTAACAGGGCAATTTAGAAATAAACACTGGTCAGTTTAGAGTACAAAGCCTGATCAACAACAGGGAACAGCTGTAATGGTTGCTCACAGTACGGGATGCCAGCCGATTATTTCAAATATTCGTTACAGTCTCCATAATCTAAAAAAAAAATGTTAATTCGATTTTTATTTATATAGTAAAAATCGATTAATATTCCGCCCAGGGCTGTCGATTTCGAATTTGATCATGGTCAGTTTCTGGCTCCTAAATTCCCAGTAGCTTACAAAGATAACAAGTGACACATTTGATATATTCGATTACCTTGCCAATAGGTCAGCTGCTACACATTCTCTTCAAAAACTTCTAAATATTCGGCATAATTTCATCTTTGCGATCTAACTTTACCTTACGCAAGCGCGTGGTGTGAGGAGAAGGAGCAGAGCCGGACCAGGGTCAGGGCTGAGATCAAGGTTTCCGGGCCCCTCGGGGCTCAGGTGTTCAGAGTCGGAGCCATCTCAGAGTGCGGGCTCCTCCTGTGCTCTAGGACAAGCCCGTTGGTCATCCTCCCGTCTTTACTGGAGCTGTGGACCTGTGGGCAGCACACAGAGAAAGCCCACGGTCAGCACTGAACAGAACGGTCAATTAGAGAGCTAACACATCTCCATTCACAGTGAAGTCACGCAATCCCTGGGCCTTGAGGGAACGATGTCACATGAACTTCTTGAGAGACACAAGGGTGCATGAATACCTCTGTAAAGAGTTGGCCTTGCCCTTTGGGTTTGTCCCCTGCCAGCGGGGGTCTGCGGAAGTGGGGTTGTTTGGAGAGGTCTTGGAGAAGTTTCTGCTCGTACTCCTGATGCTTTCCCCGCCTGCAGCAAAAGAACACTTGAGCAGTGAGCTATGGTAACGACTGGCGGAAATTTAAGGAATATTACAGGGGGTATGGGTAAAACTGGTATTTACAGGTATATGATAAATAATTCCTATATCTGACCTTGCTGGTCACGTGAAATATTATTTATCAGAATCCTTTAGCTACCACATAGTTTGGATTTCTTGCCTGTATTTTGAGGAGTTATAATAAATAGTTGTATATAAAAACACGAGGATTGTGTCAATGCTTGATGCCAAGTTTAACTGCATATTCTTGACGCTTAAAGTTAGCTCCGAAAACAACCTGACGTTATCATTGGAATACGTTTCACTCTCGAAGATTTACGATCAGTAGCTGACCAGCTATAGTCTGCTAGTTTAGTTTTGTCTTACATTTCTGATGCATTGAATATAGAGCTTTTAGTTTAGCCGTCCTCCCGACTGGCTTACCTTGCATCTCCTTTTAATAAACTGGCAGCTCGTCCCCCAGCTCCCGTGGAGGATACTGCAGTCTGGTTTGGGGCACTGCATCCTTTAAAAAGCGTAACTGCAGTATTTTGTTGTCCTAAAGAAGCCTGCAAACAAAACGCTACAATCACAAAACCATTCACTCTCCGTCTTTCTACAATGATATGACCATGTACGTCTCAAGGCCTACCTTGAGTGTTCTGCTTCACCACCACATTGGTTGACCACTGGATTGCTCTGAGAGCGTCTTCAGAACGCAGATATGTTGACATAGCCTGCACTGGGCCCTGGGAGTGAGAAGAGACAGAGACAAAGCCAGAATTCAAAATGCTAGTTATCATTAATGTGGGCCGATGACGGACTGTTACTGTGTGTGGGGGGGCTCACCTGGGAGCCAGCCGTATGAAGTGGCTGTTGTGATCACACTTTGTGAATCTTCCCGAATTTCCCAAAGATTCTAAGTCCTCTTTAGAACTGTCAAACAAATGCATCATTATCGTCATCATCTCC